CACCCACCAGCCCACCAACCCACCAGCCCACCAACTAATCAACACATGATAAAGGTCCCTATCTACTATTAACTTACCAACCATCTGATGCTAATTGTTTTCTACATACAGCATCAGACGTTCTATACTTCCATGGATCCTCGCTCAAAACTCAACCAGACATCAGTCAACGATCTTCCCAAACCACACGGTGGAATACAGCAACACTATTATGACCAGAGCAGGAATAGAGCGGAACACTTACTTCAAGGTAATGTTCAATTTGGTCCACTTGTACTTACACACACTACCAATACATTCAATATTCCATGCATACAACTCTAGAAGAAGATTTWAAAAAATATATAACATTTAACCCTACTAGCCTTGATTGAGTATCTGCTTCATTTTGACCAATATACATGAACCGATGTAAATATTGTTATTGGTCAGTACCAATTTTAAGATTTCATTTCCACGCCAGAGGGTAGAACCATGTACAGCTTACCAGACGTCCATTTTACTGGCAACAGGAATAAAACTGCACGAAGACAGCCATCTATATATAACCAACACGCTAAGAATGGCTTTAAATTCTGGATGGAAGGAGACCCTAATGTTAACAAGATATCTTGTGAGTATTCGTAGAGTGCAACCATAAACACGTGGGATGTTAACGGATTGAATGATCATATCCAATATGGCCCCTTTTATGTCATAACCGTCTTGTTATCTGTTTTACGAGACAGAATCTCCTATCCCAAGCCCTCCCCCCAAAAAACAATTTTGCCCGCCATTCACAGCAAAACAAAACAAAACAAAACAAAAACAAAACAAAACAAAAATTAAAACAAAAATTAAAAAAACAAAAAAACAAAAAAAATAAATAACAAAACAAAAAAAACCAGAATATAAATACTACAGTTTCATGTTACGACTGTAGCCTTTCATCATGACAGAGTTCTTCACTAATTTTCCCCTCTTTTCTTTTAGTTTGTTCCAAGTATACATTTGGTTCGAAGTACACGATACATGGACTTGGCAATGCACCTCGTAACTAGATTGTCATAGGAAACAACTGATATTAGTGATTAAAGAGTCTGACTGAGGCATCACCTCGTTGGTGTGTGAATACTAAAGAACTGAACCAACTGTTACTTTATTGACGTCTTCGTAAATTTACTACTATTTTATCGTATGTTTTATCTACATTTTTACGCGAAGATTAAAACAACCTTTTATAATGTTTGATACAGATTTAGTACGTTTAATGCTAAGCAGCGTATTGGTATATATCATATCACTGTCTTAATAGTGGTTTATATCTTGATAGTGGCGATGACCGCGGAATTCTAGAAGAAAATAAAACAGACGATAGAAAAATAACTCAAATGCTTCAATTAGTCCAATCTTTTATTTTACTTGAGTTGAGCTGCAAGCTCATTTTTTTCGCGACTTGAAGTTGTGAAAGGCCCATTGGCTTCTTCTTCAGTCGTTTCATACAAGGCTCGTAATTTACCTATTACGCATGTTCTTATATGATTTACGAGCCCATCCCACACGGCTTACCGCCTCATCTCTCATTTATTTTACATGGTTGTGATAGACAGGTCAATTTTACCCCAAAGATAAAAACCTTAAAGTCAATAACTAAAAAATGAAATCAAAAACAATGGAATTTATCTAGTCTATAGACCGGCCGTGCAGCACGTCTTTTGTTTTGTCTTCCAAATTGAGCTCCTTTGACGTCGCATGCAAGGGGTCCATTAGACTAGAGCGATTTTACTTTGGCCCATGAGAATAAAACTAGCATAATCCATTCACTAATTCCATTGTAATCTTTTGTTTTACTTTGACTTTTAGTCACTATTATGAGACTTGGGCCAAGTAAGATCACTCTGTTCGAGATTCATATCTGTTCATATCTATTCATATAGTTAGTTAGGTCTAGTACTATAAGGCTTACTTGGGAAATCACATGCTCGCCTTTGCTCATTCCAGTGCAGACCACTTGTGCACATGCGCAGAAAGCCTCGTCCTTGTCCATCACAAACACAGTAAGAAGCAGAGTTATGTCGAATGCTGTAGTATCCTGCTGGCCTTCCTTGGCAACAAGACACTGAGAAGATACAGTATTCAGTAATATGGTAAATAAATACGAATCTATTGAAGAAGGCATTGGGCTGCTTCTCCTTACCCTCCCCTCCCCCAGTACTACATGCCGTAACATTGAAATGGCTTCCCATAAGAATGTTTATCGTATGAGTGGGAAACATACGGTACTTTATCATATGACCCGTACGGCCCTGCTCGCGCGCTCTAATAAAACCATTGGAAAAAGTCACGTGATGGGGGCCGGACGGGTTGACGTAAGCGGGCCGGAAAAACCCGTCCGGCCCTGCTCGAATCCGCGCGCTTTCTTTTTCTTAATTATTTTTATTTCCGTGAGGCTCATATGATAAAATGCTTATTGACTGAGTTAGGTCGGGCCGTACGGGAAAATATTTGACTCTCGGTCATTTGTACGGACCTCGCTGCGCTCGGTCCGTACGACATGACCTCGAGCCAAATATTTTCCCGTACGGCCCTCCCACTCAGTCAATAAGTACATAGACTTACAGTACGCACACGGTATGAAATGTTGTAACATTGAAATGGCTTTCCATAAGAATGGTTATCGTATGAGTGGGAAACATACGGTACTGACTTAGAGTACGCACACGGTATGAAATGTCGTAACATTGAAATGGCTTTCCATAAGAATGGTTATCGTATGAGTGGAAAACACAGTACTGACTTACAGCACGTACACGCTGTATGACATGGTGTAACATTGAAATGGCTTTTCATAAGAATGGTTATCGTATGAGTGGGAAACATACAGTACTGCCTTACAGCAAGCACACGGTTGCTAGTAACTCATCCAACAATAACGCGTTATTACAGTTACAACAGCCTTGGTACAGTAGAGTATCGTTTCCCAGCTCTTATGAATACATCGCTCTAAGCCTTCAGTGACTTACGGTTGTTTTTCTGGCAGTTGACACTACTACGCAAGTCACATGTCTGAGTGTCGTTGTCCCAGTAAAGACCCTCTGGACAAAACATGCGGAACGTTTCTCCATTAGCATCGCATTTATAGAAACCTGTGCAGTCTTCTACATCTGCGTGGTATCCCTCGGGTTTACCATCACAAAACGACACTGGAAAAGACATCAAATTATTCTTATTAATTGATCTTGAGAAATTGTGCTCTAATGTTAAAATGGTTGTTTTCCTTGCGCTAATTTTAGAGCATATGATATTTAGAAATAAAAATACCAACAGGCTGCAAAGTTACGGTAATGACAATCGCTTTCGAACCAATCGCAACGCGATTTAAGGTCACACGCACGCATGCGCAACCCGACATGACGTCATTACCTGGTCCATACGGGACATCAACCGTGTATGTCACTTTGATTCCTTCCAAGAAAGGAGAGTGTTGGAAGACTGGCTTGACCTTAATAAACACCATACATTAGTAAACTAGCTCTAGTCACCACTCGGGGTGGTTCGATTTCAACCGGTATGCTTTGTTTGTTAAAGACATCGACTTTTGTAAGGTTTGTATTTGGTTTTGATCAGAGGCTTCCCGACTGAACCGCTTTGCCGGCAAGAGGTGTCTACAGCCCTGCTAATAGTCACTTACCGTTATAACGATATGCATGTGAGGATGTACTCTTGGGATGGAATAACGATTCTCTTTCTGAAAAATAATAACACAAACACTTTTACTTGAAACTTTTACATCTGATCCAGCTGCCGGAGGGACAAAGTTTAAGAAAAATTACAGGTTTTTGAAGAACAAGTCTTAAGCAAAGTTTTACCTGTTTTAGATGTTTTGCTTACCGTAGTAGCCGGCATACAAAGTTTGGCTTTATTTGCGTAACTCGTTGGACAAGTGATAATCAGTTTCCCATGTGCGTCTATTATACTGTACCCCACTTCGTAATAGTCGACTGTTTTGTAGCTGTAGCTCGGAGGGTTCCATTCAAAATAACTAGTGAATGTTGTGGTTTGTGGATCGAAGGTGAAATTGAAGTTGCTGAGGCGTTTGACGGCGATGTCCTTATTAGAAGGTGCTGAAAACATTAACAGTAATTGTAATCAGGGGCGGCGTAGCGGTATAGTAGTGAGGGGTCCTGAAGGGGAAAATGGGAACTGGAAATTACTTAATTTGCCCTTGGAAAATAGGATTTAGGTCACTGGGGATGAAAAAAATGGAAACGCGATGAAAATACTGGTGATGATGATCTTACCAGGAGCTTTGAGTCGAAGAACGACGTATTTTGGTTTAATCCATTTTACTTTATACAAAGGTTTCACCTTTAAACAAAGTACAATTACAAAGTGATTAATAAGAAATCGGTAGAATTAAACTGAATCAGATCGGATAACATTGGTATTGTTATTACATTACCTCGATAACCAGTGGCTCGTTATGAAGCAAACCTCGAAACACATAAAATCTATCACTCTACAAGACAAAAATCCATCAAAAATGGGTGTATGGTTATGGTTATATGGTAATGGGTGTATGGTAATGGGTGTATGGTAATGGGTGTATGGTAATGGGTGTATGGTAATGGGTGTATGGTAATGGGTGTATGGTAATGG